GCACGGGTGTTGTTATAAATAATGAAAGCAATAATAACAGCTAACATTCATTAGGCACCTGTTATGTTTGGCTCTGTGCTGAGTAAAATAGAAAATTTTGTCATCTTTAGAGGAGAAAAGAGAGGCACAGAGAAGTTGTGCTTTGCCCAAGGTCACACAGCTAGTCAGTCAGTGGTATAGGCAAGCCTTCAACCCAGCTTGACTGAGCTCTCTATTCCCTGTGGTCCATAGTCTGGTATGCTCTGAGTTGGATTAATATCAGCCACTCTATTAGTCAGATGGTCAGTCATTATTTTTCGGAAAACTATTATGCACCAAGTGAAGGGAGGGAAGACGAGCCTAGGGCAGTGATCTGGCCATGGAGGATGATTAAGAGTCATAGACCTGGGAACACAGTCCCAGGGTGATGGGATATTAGAGAAAGGCAAAGAAAGAGCAAAGGGTGACAAAGATAGGGAGAGAAATTTGGAGAAGGGAGTTGAAAGAAGAAAGGGTTGTCAAGAGTGAGATCTATCAGCTTCGCAATTTTGTATCAATTTTGTTTATATCCTCATGGTGTTATTTTTGGGATGTCTCATGGGGATTTATGATGAGAGGCATCTAGATCAAGAAATAGGAGGGAATAATTTTGAACTGTAGTTGACTACAAAGTCATTGAGTGTAGGTGTGTGTGTGTGTGTGTGTGTGTGTGTGCGTGCGCGCGCGCATGTAAGGAAGAGGTACACAATGTAGAATGCTAAATAATTCTCACTTTGCCATTTTAGACTGTCACAACAGGCTATTTTTGTCATTCCATGTATATGCAGGGCTGCTATCCCATAATTCTGAGGGCTTAAATGATGCCTTAAATTGCTGTTCAGTTTACACAGGTGAGGTTTTGACTTGCCTACACTCTCTAGTTTATCATTGCTCCACTCATTCTCTGTGAATGAACTGCACTATTTTTTATTTGTAGTAGCATTTTGCTACCAGTTTAGCGATTTCCGTCTTTCCGTATTTTCAAATAAGCATTTGCTGGTATTGGTGAGTTAATATTTCTCCTACAACTGTGATCATTCCTGTAACACAGGGGAGTTAAGGCACTTCTAACTTTTAATTTCTCTTAAAATGAGCTTATAACTTCCTACTATCCCCATTTGGATGCTTTTACAACTGACAGTGTTTTGGTTTTACTACTTATAAAGAACAACCATAAGAGACACATTTTTGGCTTGGAAATTCCACCTAGTTCAATGCCTGGCAATTTTTTCCCATGTAGGCCTTCATAAATATTACATTTAGACTCAGTATTTTTCCCTGCTTTTTAGAATATTGTTTTAGACTGAGTGTGTCCTATGGAAAAAGGAAATTTCCTTGGGATCTTAAACTCTTTATAGCTAGCTTGTGATGCAGTTGTTCAGGTTAGTGAAAGAACCGAGTGGTTGCTATTTGGTAATAATTTCATCTTTTCTATCTCTGAATGAATGATGAGGCCACAAATCATGAAGAACCATATCTTTGTACTCAAAGAGCAATCCTATATCGCAAAAGTAAAAAAAGATTGCCAGTAAAGGTCATTTGGATTCTATTCTCAGCTTACACCAGATGTAAGCTGAGAATAGAATCCAAATGACCTTGAGCAAATTACTTTAACCTCTCTGGAACTCAGTTTCCTCATCATGTAAATGGAGATGTTAATAAGCACCTACCTGATAAGAAGTAGATAAGACCATGCACACATAGAGACTGGTACATAGTGCACACTTAATAAACTTTAGCTGTATTACTCTTAGAGTGTTGACATTGACAATGCTTGGCTCCCATATCTCTGCCATTCACCATAATATATTCATATACTAATGTAGAGAAGAACTAGTGTAGGCTCTCGCCTCTAGGACAATGGTCTTTTTCAGTGGTCGCTGTTGAAATGGGATGCCTAATCTTTATTACCAGGAACCCTAACTGCCTGTTCGGTAACATTTCTCATTCATTAGGAAAAAAACAATCTCTGACAAGCAGACATTTCTGCTTACGGTATCGAACAGTTCTTAAAATAGAAGAGAAAGAAACATTAGACCAAGTCTGTCTTGTGGTAAATGTGTAATGACACTTTAATTTGATATCAGCAAATGCCCTTGTAAATCAAACTCACCACACTGAATCCTTGGTGAGTTTGGAGTTCACGTTCCCATCTTCTTCCAGGAAGATGTCCATTTGTAAATTGGCATCATTATCATGGGCTGAGAAATAATTGGTAACAACTCTTGCTGGTATCCCAAGGCATCGTAAAACTGCAGGAAAGAAGGACAGACCATAACTAAACACATCAATAAAATCTAATAAATTCATAGGGAACAATTTCTTCTCATAAGGGACTTTCTCCTTTACCAAGGTCAAAAGTTCAGATATAACAGAAGAAAAACCAATGAATCACTGGAGTAGTAATTAGTAAAAGTTTATTGTGCACACACCAAAAAGACAGTTTTTTAAACCAGGAGCACTCAAACCAAAATATGGAATGAGGCTCAAGGGTGTATTATTATAAAGCAGCTTATATGGTCAGAAAGCAGTTGACTGTTTATTCTTTACTGTGACTGGTTATATTAGAATTTTCTTAAATGACAGGGAATTGGTCTGTGGTTACTTTATATCAATCTTGGAAACGTTTAAGTTTTGTTTATGATTTCCATAGGCATAAGCAAGAAATAGCCTAGGTCAAGTTAGCCCTGCAAAATAAGCTAAAATAAGCTTTGTTTGTATGACTCAAGTGGTTTGTCTGCTCGGGGAATTTTCAAGGCTGGTCTTCGTTTGCTTTTGATTTGAAAACCAACATGAAAATCCACTTGGCATATATTGTCTTCAAATATTCCATACTGAAGAAGGGGGACTAAGGTCAGGCATCGGGGCTGCAGAGAGAAACTTTGCTGCAATATCATTCAGAACTACAGTTGGGCCAGATAAAGCCAACTAGAATAGAAACCCAGTAATGGGGTTCCAATTGTTTAGTTGCTAATCATAAGATCGTCAAAGTAGTAGTATTTTAATCAAGCTAAGGAGACTATGTTTCTGAAAATAAAATAAAATAGTAAACCAACTAATAAGAAGTTAGGGATTTACAAAGCAGGTCCTCAGTGTGGTTTGCTTTTCTGGCTAGAATTTGCTTTGTGACACTTGGTGGAGGGTGACACCACAGATTCATTTTAATTGTTAGATAATAAATTACCTGGATGCATCTCTTGCCATATGTACCTATTGATTAAACTTAATCCGAATGCCCTCCCTGGCTCCCAGGATGCTACACATCAGGGCTCATTGAAAATAATTCAGCTGACAATTTTAAGATTAATGACTTGGCTTGCCTTTTATTTTCTCAGAACAATTTAGCATATTTAACCAAAGACTATCCACATCCTTCAAGAGAACAACCTTGGAAGTCCAAAATGGAGTCTGGTAAGGTGAAACTCGACACTGGGGCATCAATACCCCCTTCCCCCCAATTTCCCTCTTTGGGTTTATTTCCCCATATTGTGCTTCTGCCTTTTCCTAGCTTACCATCAAAGCCTGGAATAGATCTGGTGACTCTTTTATACAAAAGGCGTAAATAGATGGAAGGTATTCATTATTTTATCTGGATCTAAGCTTTAAGGCATTACACTGGGATAACAAAATCATAGGCAGGAGGAGGACATGAAGAGTCAGAGGGTCCTTTCTGTTTTCCTGGAATCATTTCATAAAAGTGGTTGCCTCCATCATGTGCCCTCTACGTAGTCTTGGCTTGAGAACCACGAGAGAGGGGGACTACCTCCAACAGTTAGCTCATTTTGAAGTTCAGGCACCTCTCTAGAACTTTAGAGACCAGTCCTAGGAGACTGATACATTGGCCATACCTGCTTTCAAGAAATGTATATTCTGAGAGAGAAAAAAATTGCATAGATGATAGAGGCTCTGTTCATTTCTCTGGCAACCAAATCAAACTTATGACAGAAACAAGGAGCAAACAGCAAGGAAAATCACATGGGATGTAGATGAACAAGCCATACAACTAGGGAGAAATCTAAGAAATCACCCTGCAATGGCAGAAGGTAGGACGGGGCGAGGACACGAGGCTGCCCGGGCCCGAGCAGCTGAGTGGATGGAGGCTGTGGCAGCGGCAGCCCACATCTGCAGATGCCTCTTAAAGGGGCCGTGTCTGTGAGTGGATTTTTGCAGTGATGGACCTGCTCACTCTGAGCACCAGTGCTTGTCGGAGTGAGGGCCTAGGCGAGACTCACTCTGTACAGAAGTGCTGGTTGAATCCATTGTTCCTCTGTTGAGCCCTCCCCCTCCAAGTGCGCAGACCCAGCACCGCCATAGCGGAGACGACATAAAACTGGATAACAGAAGTCTCTCCTCTGAGAAGATTCCCTGAAACTCCGCCTCCCCCAACTTGCAGCCTCACCCAAGCCACACCCAGGTGTACCCTCCTTAGTCAGGTGCTCCTTGCTGAGCAGTGCCTAGACTCACACTTGTGGCAGCTGGCCTCAGTTTCTAGTGTGGTTTCTTGAAGCAACTATAAGCACAACATCTGTGGATTGCTTGCTGAATCTTAACAGGTAGTCCCGGATGGACACAGGCTGGGGTTAAATTTGGCCTGATGTTGAATCCTTCTCAGGACTGTGCCACTGGACACCTACTATACAAAGCCATGCTAATAAGAATGGGAGACTTAGGAGCTTTGCTTAATAGAGAGAAACAAACAGAGAAAGGCAGCCAAAATAGGAAGACAAAGAAGCAGAAACCATAGGAGAGAAGAGATCAGAGATCCAGAAATAATGGAGTCAAGCAATCTAACAGATGCACAGTTCAAAACACTGGTTATAAAGATACTCAATGAACTTGGGTGAAGTGTAGTTGAATTCAGTGAGAACTTTAACAAAGAGATAAAAAACAAAAATGGAATTGTAAGTAATAAAAGGGAACCAGTCAGAACTGAACACATTCTCTGAGATTAAGAGTATACTAGATGGAATCAACAAAGTGGATAAAGAAGAGGATGAACTACCAATATAGAGGATGGGAAAGCCAAGGATAATCAA